ACACCACTCATGCTTTTATAGACCTCTATCATATCCCCCCTCAGTCTCCTCTTTTCTAAGCTGAAAAGTCCCAGTCTCTTTAGCCTCTCTTCATATGGGACCTGTTCCAAACCCCTGATCATTTTAGTTGCCCTCCCCTCTCCCACCCTCTGTCTTCCCCTCTCCCACCTCCTTTTCCCAGTCTCCCCGAGTTTTGTTCAATAAAGAGAGTTTCTATTTTTGAACACACGTGTCCTTTATTTTGTACATCAGGAAGGGGGGCTAGGGAGGGGTAAGTGGAAGGAGGTGAGGGAGGAATGGGGTACGAGCCCACAATGGGGAGGACTGGGGTGGCCCTGCAGGCTCCTCGGGGTGGAAGCTCTCCTGCAGCCCCCCAATTGCCCCCAGATGGCAGCCTGCAGCAAGTGCAGCCGGTCTGATGGCCGAGTGCTGTGATGTGCCAAGTGTGGGCACTCAGGGCACTTCAAGCCATGACTGCTTTGCAAGCGGGGAACCCCTGAGAACTGTCTGTCCGGGGTGGGGGTCGGGTCCCTTTAAGCACAGCCCTCGGCTAGCCTGAGACAGCAGCTCCATGCTCTAAATCCTAATCTGATGTCCTGCCGGCACTAGTTCTGGCCATCCTTAACCTCGGTTCAGGGTCCACTCAGTGTGGACATGCTAATTCAAATTAGCAAAATGCTAATTTGAACTAGTTTTTAGGTCTAGATACACTAGTTCGAATTAGCTTAGTTCGAATTAACTAATTTGAATTAAGTTAGTTCGAATTAGTGCTGTAGTGTAGCCATACCCCAAGATATGAGAGAGACAAAATAGATAAGGGAATATCTTTTATTGGAGAAACTGCTCTTGGTGGAAGGTACAAGCTTTTGAGTGACAAAAAAAAAAGTTCTTCAGGTTTGGGGAAGAAAGCAGTGTTAAAAATGTTAAAAATATTTCATTCAAAGTAACCACTTCTTTTAGCCTTTATGAGAAGAATATGAGGCTATCTGGTGACTTTTTACTGGTCAAATGGAAATTGATTAATGAAATAACCAATGTGATTGTATTTTAAGACTGTGCTTGTGTTGTAGCTATGATTTTTCCAAGATATGAGAGAGACAAAGTAGATGAGGGAATATCTTTTATTGGAGAAACAGAAGGTACAAGCTTTTGAGTGACAAAATAAAAAAGTTCTTCAGGTTTTTAAGAAAATGCCTATTTTATATTTCATTTTCTTCATGGCGACTCTGACTCTTTTTAACATGAAGATTTTTTTTGCATTTAAAAATATAGATCTTGTTTATTGCATATGGGGCAGATTTGATTTCCTTGTCAAACCATTGACTTATCCTTACTACTGGTTGGGTATGAGAATGTTTAATAGTCTACATAGAATCATAAGGCTGGAAGAGACCTCAGGAAGTCATAGAGTCCAGCTCCTAAGTCCAACCCCCTGACCAAAGCAGGACCAACATCAACCAAATCATCCCAGCCAGGGCTTTGTCAAGCTGGGACTTAAAAACCTCTAGGGATGGAGATGCCGCCACCTCCCTAGGTAACCCATTACAGTGCTTCACCACCCTCCTAGTAAAATAGCTTTTCCTAATATCCAACCTAGACCTCCCCCACTGTAATTTGAGACTATTGCTCCTTGTTCTGCCATCCGTTACTACTGAGAACATCCTCTCTCCATTCTCTTTGGATCCTCCCGTTAGGAAGTTGAAGACTGCTATCAAATCCCCCCTCACTCTTCTCTTCTGTAGACTAAATAAACCCAAAATATGCTGCACATTTGTTCAGTAAGATAAAGTCACCTAGTTGCTTATTTGCAGGAAAAAAAAATTGTAATCTGAGTCTCGGTAATCATTGCAAAAGGGGTTGTAAATTCACCTTTCCATTTTGTGATGTGGGTTCCTGCTTCCTGGGAAATGCATGGCCTCAGCCAGTCAGTTCATCTCACACAGATGATCGAGCAAGTATCAGCTGAATATAACTTTTAAGTAATTAATAATTTGGGCTAGATTTGAAAAAAATAACCTGAAGGTGAAAGAGAACACAAATGAATGAGGACAGATAGGGATGGATTTGAAGTGGCAGGCTGCTTCTTTATTAAAATGTAAAATAGGCAAATAGTGATCATCTCCAGTCTTCCCAAACCAGGCATTTAAGTGAATTCAGTAGGGGGGTTGCTGGGCATCTCTCATATAATCCATAACTCAAGGTAGCTCTCTTCAAGAGAGATTATTCCCTAATCATAACTCTGGTCATCTGAAGAAGTGGGCTGTGCCCACGAAAGCTCATGATACCATCTACATGTTTTGTTAGTCTGTCTATAAAGTGCTACCAGACCATTTGCTTGCTGTTTTTTTCTGTAACAGACTAACTTGGCTACCCCCTGAAGTTCAAGAGTTCAGTTTGCTCAGCTGAATCATCTTGTTTTCTCCCTTGCAAAGGAGACAGAAGGTACCAAAGAAGGATCCCAGTCTGCAATGACTTCAGGACTTTTTTTCCATAGGACTGGGATCTGCCAGCAAAATCCAATATCTTTTATTTTCTGGTTGCTGGCTTTATGGTCTTATTCCCACACTGGATCCCATCTGCAAGTTGTGACAAGCTAACATCATACAAATTCTGAATATTACATTTTTAAATGATGTTCCTAAATTCTAACTTAACTGGGCCTCCATGAATGGTGTAGAAGGCCTGTGAAACTAGGGCTGGGCTTTAAATAAATGATTTGGGGGCAAGAGCTAATTTCTTTACATCTCTCTGGTTGGGCAGTAGGGCATTCAGGGGGAGGAGGGACCTGTCCCTTTGTACTCTCTCTTTATTCTAAAACCATGTGTCATCTTGCAAATATAATCACATTTCCCAGCCATTAAGATAGTGGGTGACAAAGTCTTGCATTTTTGCTAGCCATTGTATTCTGGTTCCCAAGTTTCTGCTTGACATGTGACACCTTCCATCACAAATTGTGAGAAAATGGCACTATAATTTAAAGAGTAATTTTGAGGTAATAAGTAATTATTTTTAAAAAATGCAAGAAAAGTGGGATAAGTAGTAAGAATTTATTTAAAGCTGTTCTAGAAATGTATTGACAGTCAGTGGTCAGAAAGTCTGTGTTTGTCCCGGAATCCCTGAATAATAAGTTTGGATAGAAACATTTTATCTTACTTTCTTTTTTAATAAACATTTAAGACACATACACGCTGTCCAATATACTACAAAACCTACATGCAAAACTCATTGAGGCCCCAGTCTTTTTACAATGTTTGCAATAATGATTACACGAGGATGCACTTCATTTTGTAGCCTATGTTAACTATTATTTTAAACCTCTTTCCAGTATTTTTCAAGTTCTAGTAAATTTTGAAATTGTTTCTCAGTAAAAATTCCAACATTAAAGCATGAGTTCACTATGGGATTGATAATGAGTGTATAGAGCGTTTCACTTTCAGATTGTTTTTGCAAATCTAGCCCAAGTTTTTAATAATTTAAAAGTTATATTCAGCTGTTACTTGCTTAATCATCTGTGTGAGATGAGCTGACTGGCGGAGGCCATCCATTTCCCAGAAAGCAGGAATCCACATCACAAAATGGTCACCATTGTCAATAAACTACACTTCTGGTGGTG